ACTATTGAATTCTACCCAATATTTAAAGAAGGAATAAGGCCAATCCTACTCAAACATTTCCCCAAAATGGACAAGGAGGAAATACTTCCTAACTCATTCTGTGTGGCCAGCATTACTCTGGTTTCAAAGCCACACAGAGACACTACAAGAAAAGAAAACTACAGACCAATATTCCTCGAGAACATTGATGCAAAAATCCTCAAGAAAACACTAGCAAACTAAATTAAGCAGCATATTAAAAGGATTATACAAGTGGGAAAGGATTATGACCAGATACGGTTTACTAACGGAATTCCAGAAATACTGAACATATGAAAATTGATCAATGTTATACACCACGTTAATAGAATGAAGAACAAAAACTACATGATCATCTCAATTGATGCAGAAAAAGCATTTGACAAAACTCAACACTCATTCATGTTAAAAACACTCAACAAACCAGGAACAGAAGGAAACTACCTCAACATAACAAAAGCCATATAAGGACACCCACAGCAAGCATGATAGTCAATGGTGAAACACTGCAAGCTTTTCTTTTAACATCAGGAACAAAGAAAGGATGGTCACTTTAGCCACTTCCATTCATCAGAGTACTGGAAGTTCTAGCCAGGGGAATTAGGAAAGAAAAAGAAATAAAAAGCATCCAAATTGGAATGGAAGAAGTATCATTATCTCTGTTCACAGATGATATGATCTTGTATGTAGAAAAACCTAAAGATTCCACAAAGAACCATGTTAGAACTTCTAGACAAATTCAGCAAAGTAGCAGGATACAAAATCAATGCACAAAAATCAGCTGTGGGCTGGCCCCGAGGCCTAGTGGTCATCTTCGGCACACTCCACTTTGGTGGCCCGGCTTTGGTTCCCAGATGCGAACCTACACCACTGTTATGAGAGGTTCGGGGATTCGATCGGAGATGTAAAAGACACTTTCCACTCCAAACAAATGGACTGAAGGTATATTTTATTATATAGAGGATAGTAAAGGTGATAGTCTGCAAACAGATCCAAATAGGTCAAATATTAAGAGGGAAAAAACATCAGCCCGACTGGAAAGGGAAAACACCCACATCGGCTGAAGAGAAATGACACAAATCAACCGGAAAGAGAAACACCAGGTTGACCAAAAAGAGAACACATCAAATCAATTACTTCATATCAAATCAATTACTTCACATCAAATCAATTACTCACAACATCCACGCCCCACTGCCGGGAGAGCCCTGTCAATCGACGCGGCTGGGCAAGGATCACTCGTCCTGGGCAAGGCGTCCCTTCCACAGGTGGAACTCTCACCAGGGCTCAGTTTCCAGCAGTTTTTATACCATCAGTAATTTTCAGAGTAAGCAATTACAGAGTTTGCAGAGCAAGCATTTAGTGTTTCCATGCACAAATGGTTATGAGTGGTGTACGTGCACTGAGCCCCCTGGCTAACGTCCCAGCCCAGTAGTTGTGTACGTGCATTGTTTTCTTTGGTTATCGTCTCAGCCCGGCACAGATGGCCAGTCCATCCCGTGCTACGACGCTCCAAGAGCCTTGAAATGTTACAACTTGCAACTCCCTCCATGAGAGAAGGGCCAGTTCCCACCACGCAGAAAGCAGCTTTTATATTTCTTTTTCTGCTGGTGGCTGTAGGTCAATGGAGCGGCCAAACACGGCTGTACTCATGTCAAGACAACCACTTGTCAGCTGCCATGCTGTGGTGGTGACCCACATACAAAATAGAGGAAGACTGGCACAGGTGTTAGCTCAGGGTGAATCTTCCTCAGCAAAAATAAATAAATAAATAAAAATCAGCTGTATTTCTATACACTAACAATCAACAATGCAAAAAGGAAATTAAGAAAACATTTTGATTTACAATAGCATCAAAAAGAATAAAATACTTAGGTATTAACTCAACCAAAGAGGTGAAAGATTTGTACCATGAAAACTACAAAACATTGCTGAGAGAAATTAAAGAGGAGACAAGTAAATTGAAGGACATCCTAGGTTCATGGATTGGAAAGCAATTACTGTAAAGACAGCAAGACTACTCAATATGATCTTAAGATTTAATACAACTCCTATCAAAATCCCAATGACTTTTTTGCAGAAATAGAAAAATCAATCCTAAAATTCATATGGAATCGCAAGGGACCCCAAATAGTCAAAATGATCTTGAAAAAGAAGAATAAAACTCATACTTCCTGATTTCAAAACCTACTACAAAGCTACATTAATCAACACACTGGCACCTGCATAAAGACAGAGATATAGACCAACGAAGAGAATAGAAGGCCCAGAAACAATCCCTCATATGGAGTCAAATGATTTTGACACAAGTGCCAAGACCATTCAAGGGGGAAAGGACAGTCTTTTCAACAAACAGTGTTGGGAAATCTGGATATCTTAATGCACCTTAATGCTTCACCTAGCACCATATGCAAAAATTAATTCAAAATGGATCAAAGACTTAAATGTAAGAGCTAAAACTAGAAAATTCTTAGAAGAAAACTAAGAACATTTGTAGGTGAAAATTCTTAGAAGAAGGACAAAAGGTTCTCAACACTGGATTTGGCAGTAATTTCTTGGATATGACACCAAAGGCATAGGCAACAGAAGAAAAAGTAGAGGGGACCAGCCCGGTGGCATAGTGGTTAAGTGCGGCATGCTCCAATTCGGCGGCCCGGGTTCAGTTCCCAGGCACGGACCCACACCACTCCTTGGTGGCCATGCTGTGATGGCAATGCACATAGAAAATTGGGGAAGATTGGCAAAGATGTTAGCTCAGGGCAAATCTTCTTCGGGAAAAAAAAGGTAGACAAGGTGGACTTCATAAAAATTAAAAAATATTGCACATCAAGATACTATCACCAGAGAAGAAGTTAACTTGCAGAATGGGGGGAAATATTTTCAAATCATATAAAGTCATGCATTGCTTAATGACATGGAGACATTTTTAAGAAGTACATCATCCGGCAATTTTGTCATTGTGTGAACAAAATAGCGTGTACTTACACAAATCTAGATGGAATAGCCTACTACACACCTAGGCTCTACCATACTAACCTTATGGGACTACTGTCATACATGTAGTCATCGTACCCACATGTTGTTATGTGGCACATGTCTGTATCTGATAAGGGATTAATATCTATAATATAGAGAGAACTCCTAAAACTCAACAACAACAACAACAACAGCAAAACACACAACTCGATTTTAAAATGGGCAAAGAACTTGAAAAGACACTTCTACAAAGAAGATCTACAAATGGACAATAGCAGATGAAAAGATGCTCAACATCACTCGTCATTAGTGATATGCAAATCAAAACCACAATGAGATCCCACCACACACCCATAGGATGCCTCCTGTCATCAAAACAGAAGATAGCAAATGTTGGCAAAGATGTGGAGAACCCTTGTGCACTGCTGGTGGGAATGTAAAATGCTGCAGCTTTTATAGCAGTCCAGTGCTCATATACCCACAAATTGAAAGCAGAGTCTCAACTACCCCATGTTCACAGCAGTAGTGTTCACAAAAGCTGAAAGGTAGAAGCAACCAAACTTCATCCACAGATGAAGGGATAAGCAAAATGTGGTCTATACACACCATGGATGATTATTCAGCATAAAAAAAGAAGGAAATGCCGACACATGTCACAACATAGATGAACATTGAGGAAATCATGCTAAGTGAAATAAGTCAGTCACAAAAGGCAAATACTGTATGATTCCTCTCACATGAGGTCCCTAGAGTAGTCGCATTCAGAGAGACAGAGAGTAGAACGGTGGTTGCCAGGGACTAAGGGGAGGGGGCATGGGGAGTTATTGTCTAATGGGAACAGGGTTTCAGTTTTGCAAGATGAGAAGAGTTCTGGAGATGGATGGGGTGATGCTTGCACAACAATATGAGAACTTAATGCCACTGAACAAACTGCACACTCAAAAATGATTGAGTAGATAAATTTTATGCTGTGTGTATTTCCCCACATACACACACAGAAAAAGTAGATATTCAAACAAATTTGACCATTTTGCCTAGGAGCCAAAAACCAGGGATGTGGCCTGTGCAGTAAAAAGTTTACTCAGTATCTCTGGGATTCTCCAACCCTGCACATTCCAAAAAAAATGCCTGACCCTTGACAACCTCCACGGAAACATCCCCTATGCCCTTGGGATGACCTGCCTGACAAAAGTGTCTCTGTACCTGGGGCCTCAGGTCACACCACACAGTTTCTGCTAGCAATGTGATTTATGGCAGGGACCTTGGGCCACACTGTGTGACCTTGAGAGGGGCTGGAAACTGAGTAACTGAGGTCAGCCGTGTGACTCTCTCAGTAAAGTGACTGACCCCCAACAAAATGCCTGGACACCCAGACTCGGGTGAGCTTCCTTGCTGAGCAATACTCTCTGCTGTGTCACACATCATGGCTGGGAGAACTGAGCACTGTCCGCACGAATCTTCTAGAGAGACAGCTGGAAGCTTGTGCCCTTTCTTCCTGAACTCCACCTACGTGCCTTTGACCACTGCTGATCCTATATGGATGCTTTCTCAGGAAAGACCATGACCGTGAGTGTAACAGCTTTTCTGACCCCTGTGAGTCCTTGTAGTGAATCCCTGCACCTGAGGGTGCTCACCCGGCCAGGGATCGGGCTGATTCCTATCAGAAGCCCATTCACACTCCTCTTGCTCCCTGACACCCAGGAATCAAGACTTCTACATGGACTTAGTCACCAACCAGGGCAGGCAGTGCTGAGTCTCCATGGGTGACTAGGGGGTAAGCAGTCCCATCTGAGCCTCACTATACCCATCTTCAAATGGGGTATAATGCCAGGTGAGACTGGATCAGGGAGGGGTAGAGGCTGGCCTGGGGAGGCTGCTGAGGCCGAATCACTGGCTCTGCCTGGTCACGAGGCCAGAGTGGGACTCAAGCCAGGTTGGAGCCATCGGACAGGTTTATTGTACATCAGGACTTCTAAAGAGGTGGGTTAGGGACTTGGTGACCCCCTCTAGCGGGGCACAGCACAGAGCTGGTAGGGAGATGGGGTCACCAGTACACCATATACACCGTGGTCGCTGGGGCGGGGCTGCCCAGCGGGCACCGAGAAGCTGAAGCGCTGCAGGAGGCAGGTGAAGAAGAGGAAGAGCTCCATGCGGGCCAGGGGCTCCCCGAGGCACGAACGGCGGCCTGTGGGTGGGTATGGGGGTCAGTGAGCCTGGGGGCCTGGGCTCTATGTCTCAAATCTCCCTCAGGAGGGGGCAGCGAGCCAGGCTCCCCACAGGCACCTGCTGAGAAGGGCATGAAGGCCTCCTGCTTGACGAAGCGGCCCTGGGCGTCCAGGAAGTGCTCGGGGTGGAAGCGGAAGGGCTTCTTCCAGACGGTATCGTCCTTCAGCACCGATGACAGGTTGGTGAAGAGCGTCGTCCCCTGGCAGGAGATGCCTGGCATGAATGGGGTGTGGGCTGGCGGGGATGCCTGGAACCCTGCCACCAAACACACATGACCCACACGTTCTGCCTGGCACACACCTGAACACTTTCAAGTCAGTGTCAGCCCAAGAGCTTCCCGCCACCCACCCTGTCCCCATGGCAGGGCCAAGAGAATGGCCTCCCATGGGCACCCTCCGTGACAGCTGTCCCTGCATGCACAGCTCCTCCAACACTGTGGCAGATTTTAGTTTGTGTTCCCCTTCCCAGACTGCGGGGTCTACATGGACCCTGCCTCTGCCTCCTCCCCACACCCACCCAGGCTGGACAGTTGGCGCCTGTGCAAATGAGGATCAGGTGGCTTGGGTTCCAGTCCTGGTCACACCTGGCAATGGCCATGCTGGGGCCACCAGGGGGCAGGTGGAGCTGAGCTGGGGCGAGGAGGGCCGCAGGCCTACCTTGGGGATGAGGAAGCCCTGCACTTCAATGTCACGGGATGTCATGTGGGGCAAGCCCAGTGGGATGATGTCCCCAAAGCGCTGCACCTCATGGACCACGGCCATGGTGAAGGGCATGTGGGTCTGGTCCCCCATCTCTGGTCGCCGCGCCTGCCCTATCACCTCATCGATCTCCTGTTGGACACGGCCTGGACAAACAAGCGTCCCCACAGTGGTCAGAAGCCAGGGAGCTGGAACCCGACCTCCCCTGACGCCCGTGTAGGGGCTATGCCCACGGGGAGGAGGAGGTCACTCTGACCCCTGAGCCATGGCCCAGCCTCTGCTCAGAGCTCCTGGTGGCCAACCCAAGCTCAGGGTGCCCAGCCTTTCCCTCGCCTCCCTGGCCCATACCACCAGGCCCCCAGGCTGGGCTCACGCTGCACATCCGGGTGCAGGATCATGAGCAGGAGGGCCCAGGCCAGCGTGGTCGAGGTGGTCACCATCCCGGCAAAGAACAGATCAGCTACCACCAGGCGCAGGTTCTCATCATTGAAGCTGGTCTCGGGGTTCCTCTTGGCCTGGGCCATGCAGAGAGGATGGGCTCAAGTGCCGAGGGAGGAAACCCCCAATGGCCTCCCACTCTGCACCCATTCAGCCCAGGTGACTGATCACTGGGTGATACGCATGCCCCACCTTGCCTAGGCTCCTCTCCGGGGCCGACTACCCACAAACTCTGCCCTCGTCCACGGCAGCTCACCTTCTCTACCTCGTCCAAGAAGGTATCAGTCAGGTCTCGGGGAGGCTGGGCCGGGTCCCGGGTCATCCTGTGCTCGGCGACCAGCTCATTCAGCAGGGCCATGAAGGCCCTCTGGGCAGGAAATATCTTGTCGACAAGCCCCGGGATGTGCAGGAGCACGGGGATGGCGTTTACCACCTGTGCGGGCCACAGATGTGGGGCCTGCAGTCATCCCGGTGCTCAGGTGTTCACCTACACCAGTCAGGTCCTAGCTCCTCTCTGGGTGTCCCCACCATTGACCTGGCTCCTCCCTATGTTCCAACTACAATCTTCTCTCCTGGCCTTGTCCTCAAATGTATAAACCTAAAATCTACTTCTCATGCGTTCTGGTGGCTTACAATGAAGGAGGTACAGGTTCCTTAGCCCTCTCCAGGGACCTGCTGACGCAACACCCCTCTATACAAATCCTCCTCTGGTGAGGCCCATTACAGGTGGAGGTCTCCTCCATGGAGCTCACCTGCAGGGTTCTTGGCCCCCTCCACCCCCGTACCTGGGCCAGGAGGCCAGAACTTTCCTTCAGTTGTTCATCCACGAGGTCAAATAGCTTGATGAAGCACGGGTCGTTGTACTCGAAGCGGCGCCCAAAGGTCAGGGAGGCAATCACGTTGCCCACAGCTTTATTCAGCAGGGCGTTGGGGTTAAAGGGCCGTCCTGGAAGGGGACGACGCAGGTCAGGGGGTCGCCTCCATCTCCTCTTCCCCGGGTTCCATCCCTGTCTCCTGTCCCTCAGCCCCGCACTCACCGGCCTGGTCTGCGAAGGCGGCACAGAGGCACGAGGCCTCCTCGGTCACCCACTGCTCCAGGGACTTCTTGCCCATGCCGAAGTTGCGCAGGGTGGACACGCAGAAGCGCCGCTGCTCCCGCCAGGCGCGCCCATAGCGGGCAAAGATCACCCCTGGGGGCGGGGCGGACGTGGTTGTGGCTCGGGTGGGCCCTGGCCCCGCCTCTGCGCGCACACCATGCTGGTGGGCTCGCCCGCCCTTCCGTCTACGCCGAGGACATAACCCCGCCCTTGCCCTATTCACACAGTCCCGCCCCTACTCCCCCACAGCATTCCTGTCCTTCCCGTGACCTCGAGGTCCCGCCCACTTTACGCCTCCTTCCGTCTGGGGTCCCGTCCCACCCTCTGCACGCCCACATCTGTCGGCAGTTCTCCCCACTGGGGCAGTTCTTGGTCCCACTCTTGGTTCTCCCCATCGTGACCTACTTCTGTTCAGGGAAGGTCCGGGCCCGCCGCCTGCCGGGTTCACACTGACTGCGTCCTCCTCATTCCTGCCGCCCAGACATCCCCTTCCTCCACTCAGTGGCCCGCGGCCCCGCCCACTCCCAGTAAGGCCCCGCCCTCTGCGCCGCCCGCAGCCACCTCCCCACTCTTGGCACAGGCTCCTTCCTCCACCCGCTGCCCCTTCAAATTCGCGGACTCTTCCCTGCTCCGCAGGTCCACCACCCTGCCTCCGCTTGGCCCTGCGGGTCTCAGGTCACCACGGGCCAAGTTCCCGCCGGGCAGCGGTCCTCCCCTCCTCCGCTTGCCTTGCGCGTGGGGTCCGAAGCCCAGGTGCTCAAAGACCGGCATAGGTGGGCGGTCGGCCGTGTCTTCGCTCTGGTTCACCAGCGCCTCGCGTACGGCTGCCAGTCCGCTGACTGCGACCACAGGCATCCAGCCTAGCTGCAGGCTGAACACGTCCCCGAAGCGGCTCCGCAGCTGCAGGCCAAGGGTCCAGAGCATTCCACAAGTCTCGCCCCACACCATGTTGCCTGACCCAGTCTCCTGGCTCTAGACCCAAGAGGACCCCTGGGCCGCCAGCAGTGACTGGGTGCAAGGACTCTATCTGGCCTTGTGACGCTGATGGTCACATCCTCTATGATTGAGGACCTCACGTTGTATCAGATCATCCAGCTGTGACTTTGCAGATGTCACCAAGATGTCAGGAAGCAAAGTTAGCATCCCATTTTACAGGTGAAGAAACTGAGGTTCACAGAGGTGAGCAGTGAGGCTCAAGGTCTCACAGCAGGAAGAGATTTGAGCCTGGTCACTGTCCCTTCTCAACCTCGATTTCCAGATTTCAATGGTGCTCATGACCAGACTCCTCTCCCTGAGTCTCAGCACCCTTCATCCTGATGTCCTCAGAAGAGACTCAGGCTCACATAACTTAAGCCGTGTCCCACTGGATCCAAAACAATCTGCCAAGTCACACTCCTCTCCTGGCCTTTGTCTTCTCTCACCTTTGACTGGAAAATTCAAACTCTCCTCCACGCCCTGCCCAGATGCCCTCCCCCAGGAGGCTTCTCAAATCAACCTCCTCTTTTCCCCCCAGCTCCCTGTCCAGCCTGTGGCTTCACCACCACCCACAGTCCGCTGCCAAGTGTGTCCCCAGGACCTCTGTGCCCACTCCCCAACCACCTTCCTCACCTGAGTAAAGCAGGAAAGCAAGTCCTGGAAGTCCACCTGCAGCTGGTTGCCCAGCCCAGGCAGGGGCACTGGGCCTGGTGGGTAGCGTGGGGCCCAGCGTTGGCGCCGGTGCATCAGGTCCACCAGGAGCAAGAAGATGGCCACGGCCATGGCCAGGGGCCCCAGTGTCTCCCCAGTCAGTAGCCCCATGGCTGCCTCAGTGGGCACTGGGCTCTTCTGGACACACTGGCACCCCTCACCACACCAGGCACCTAGGACCAGGGCAGGCAGGGCACTCTCACCAACCCTGAGGGCTCAACCAGCCTGGGCCCTCTTTATAAAGGGAGCTGAGACTGGCCTTTGCCGTCTGCCCTGAGGCAACCTGTCAGGATGACTGTGCTGCCACAGGGTGCAGGGTGGGGCCAGGGAAATTCAGCTGCAGGTGTGGCACAGAAGTCGTGTCCCTGCTGCCCTCTCCAGGTGCTTATTCTGAGTGGGGGGTAGAGAAAAGAGATGTCCCCACCCCTAGCCTGACTCCGCAGCATTGTACAGGTTCTGAGGAAGAACCAGGGGTCTTTGGACTTGATCCCGCTCCCACCTGTCATATCAGGCTCACACTCCCTAATGTGGTAACAGCCTCATCCCCAGAATACAGTCTTGCCTTCCCATAACTCACCTGCCTCCTCCTGAGTGACCTTCGCCTCCCAGGTTTGTACAGGTACTTGCTGTAGGGAGGTCACAATGATCAGAGGGACAAAGTGGGGGGAGTGGGAGGAGGGATGAAGTTCTCCGTCTCCCTCACTTCACACTAGTACACTCAGTACACACAGACACAGATCACACACACTCACATTCAGACACTACCCACCTGCTCACAGACTGACACACAGCAATGCACACACCTTCACACACACGCAAAACCACATACACACACTAAGACACACACTCACACGCAGACCCAGCACCAGGGCCCCTGAGCCCAGTGGTTGCCTGGAGCTGACCTCCCCCTCCCCTTCCCTGGAGGCTGCGGGCAGTGATGCTGAGGGCTGGAGCCCGGCTCAGTTTCCTCTGTTTCCACCTATTTGTGGCTGACGCACCTTTGAATCTGGGTGGGGATTCAGCAGGGTTGTTCTCGGAGCTCCCTAGTCACCCAACAACCAGTTCAGAGGCCAGGAGACCCTTCCTAATTTGGTTACAAACTGGTCCTAAGACCACCTAGGTCTTGAGGCCACCCAGGTGATGAATCTCCTCGTGCCTGTGTCCACTTTCCTGGCTCAGAGAAATGTGGGGTGGGCACTCGCCCTTGTTGACTGAGATGCCAGGAAGCTCAGGGGACTAGGGTGGCTTAACATAGGATGTGACTCTGTCCCCAGAGGAGGGGGCCTGCTTCCTCCTCCTCATTATCATTTGTCCTTGAACATCAGCTGCTCAAACCCTTCTGGAAGACAAGGGGGTGGAAAGCAAGTGGGGACGAGGGAATTTCTTTAAATCCTCACAGGCCTGCTGAGGACCACAAGGTGTGGATTCTCAGGCCTCCCCCTTTGCTGGCCTCCTCCCTCTCCCTGGGCCAGGTCCCCCTGCTCCAGCCCCATCCCTTCCAACCCTGACCCTGTGGTCCCTCAAGGAAAGATGCAAACCGCGGCACCACCCCGCACCAGCGTGTGCCACCTCCTGGCTGGAATTGTGGCTCCCAGGCCCTCCCTCTTGCTCAGCCTCTTGCCCAGCCTCCACGCACTGGAGGCAACACACCGTGTCAGGGCAAATCCGCTCCCACTAGCCTCAGCACCTTCCTTATTCAACACCAAAGGGGTGGGATTTGAGGCTGAGTTTTCCAATCAGTGAAGCATGGGGACTCTGAGGCCAACACCCACTCCAACTGGAAGGCTCAGGAGCCCAGAGGGTGGAGAAGGGGCATTTCCTGGGTAGGGGTCAGGCCCCCTCAGCCATCCCAGGGGTATTGAGGCAAGCTCTCATCTTGGAAACAGCTGGAGTATTCTCTCCCCAGCTGAAGCAGGGCCTGCAGGAGGCTCTCCCCACCCCCGTGTCCCCCCAGTTCTCTCCCTCACTCACTCCCCAACAGTAAGAGGACCAGCTTTTTCCCACGGTGCCTCTGGACATCCCCCACTCAGAGATGGCCACCCAGAGATGGCTCCCTGGGGCTGTGGCCTCTTGGTATTGGCTTTCAAGCTTGCAGTTCCTGCTTGGCTTGTGAAAGCTGCTCCTCCCCTTCTGAATTCCCACATCCCCACTCTCCTGCCAGACCTGGGGCCAGAGGGTGTCGCTTGCTGGGGCCCAGTGGGCCTTCCTCGGTTCACCCAGCCTTCTCTGCATCTTCCTTGCTCAGGCCTTGGATTCTGTTCCACCCTCTCTGGAAGGACCATGTGCTGGGTGCTGGGTTGGGCACTCGCAGCCTGGTGGGAAGACAAGCACCTGCTCCAAGGTGCTCACGACCAAGAGGAGGAGGGGGAAGACAGAGACCTGACAGGCCAAGACAGCAAGTGTGGACGGAAACTGCTTTGAGGGTGGTAGGGACACTGCCCCAGGCTGGAGCAGGACTTTCTGGGAAGACTTCCTGGAAGACGTTGGCTGGCTTGGCACTGCAAGCCAAGGTGACTTGATAGTGGGACCAAGGGGCAAATACAAAGTCCAGGAAGGAGAGAGGCAGCAGGAGGAAGGCAGGTTTGCAAATCTGGCAGATGACTGGGCTGGAGGCAACTGGGGTCGCTGGTCTTCCAGGAGGCAGGAAAACTAGCTTTGAGGCCACTCAACAGACCGGGAGAGCAAGACCCATGGGCCCGCTGCAGTGTTTCTGGATCCAACCTGTGGCCTCTCATTGGCCTCAGTTGAATGTCCTGTCCTGTGGGCAGCAACTTTCTACCCAGGACTGTCAGAGGATCAGGTGGTGTCAGCAGGGGGTAGGATGGTCCAAGTGTTGGTCACACAGTGGCCCTGGATAAACTGTCTTTATCCACCCTTTGTTTGATGTGTCACGCCCTCCCAAGCAGTCACCCTAAGGAGAATATGAAGGGCAGGAACAGACAAGCCTGTAAATCAGACAGAGCCCCACCACCCTCCAATACTCGGGGCTTCTTGTCCAGGACGGGGCGCCTTGAGGAAACCTCGTGAGTACAATGAGCACACAGCACAATCTTGAGGCTGATGGCCTGTTGCAATCATTGTGCAATTGCAGCTTCCGTTGATGAGGGACTCACGTGCCAGGTACTGCTGCTCACTCCACGTGTCCTCCCCACAGCCCTGTAAGGCAGGTGGCTTTAGGGTCCCCAAGGCATGGAGGAGACTGAGTCTCAGGGTTCAGGTCAGGAGGTCAAAGTCACAGAGCAGCATTCAGGTCCATCTCAAAACACAGGCTCTGAGCTGCTGCTCTACATGTAAGTTACTGAGATTTCTTATTTTAGAAACACACTCAGCCCGCCCTCGCTGCGCTTCTGCTCTGGTGACGGTGCTGGGCTGGAGGGGTGAGCGCCCTCAGGGACCACGGGTGTCACATGTGTTCACCCCACAGGGAAGGTCCTCTGGACACTGTGGCCTGAGAGTGAGACTGCAGGGGAGACATCAGCACGACGGCGAGCAGGAAGCGCCCGGACCCCCAAGCACCGAGATGCGGCCCGAGGTCCCCAACGCGATGCAGAGCAAACCCTGGGAGAAAGCCCTAGAAAGCAGGTAGGGAGCTGCAGCCCCAGCCAGGGAGCTGGGAAAGTTGGTGGCATTTGGCTGGCTTTGCCCCTCCCCCCGCGGCATGGAGGCCCCGCGGAGGAAATCCCCCAATTCCCGCTCCTCCCTGGGGACA